AGCCCGTAATGATGCTACCAATAGAATATTCAAAAAAACAAAAGATAGATTCACATAATAATACAAGTTGGGACCAAAGTAATCCTGATTCATTATTAAACGATTGCTTAAAAATAGTTTTGCCTTATCTATCTATCGTGGAAAGAATAAAAATTCAAAGAGGTAATTTGTGTTGTCTTTTATTTACATGTAAACTAAGCTTTTCTTAAAAATATAATGATTCTTTTCCAGTTTGCAAATCCTGGCAAAAAATTAGTAAATCGCGGTGCTATGGCATGCATCACCTTGAAATTAATGATTATTTATTTGGTAAAAACCCTGAAGAGAAATCTCCCGACGTCAAAATTCACATCCTAAACCAGATATTTTCATTGTGTGGATGTGATTTGAAATCTGTACATCTTAATGCTTCCATATTAACTTCGGACATCTGTAGATTGGAATGCTTGAAGCTTCTGAAAAAATTTTGTCCGTATCTTCGATCCATAGAGTTCATGTTTATCGACAGCGATATCGCAAGTTTTCTTATATTCAATTTCACCAATCTCAAATCTCTTGCTATCACATTTTGCTATAAAAATTGCGAGTTACAGCTATCTGGATATTTCCAAAGTAACCGGAATCTTACTTCCTTCTCCGTTGAACGTAATGATCATTTAACGGGAACTTGTTTTTTGAGCCTTCCAGAGTCTCTTGAAAATTTAAGCGTAAAATCATGCAGAAGCATAACCCATGAAAATATTGCCGCAGTAAGTACTGTTTTAGAATCTCATCTAAGTTATTTATATTTTTGTACGTATAAGTTATTTATATTTTCATTTCAACATTACATTTAGGCTCTGCAAAAACTTAAGAAATTGAAAACTTTGACGCTCGCTGGAAATTTGCATTTCATCGAAAGAGTAAATATAATATTAAACGGTATTCCATTGAATTCTACAATCGAAAAATTAGATTTGACGTATGCCGCCGTAAGACGCGTTAAGAAATTCTTAGATGTCTTGAACTTTGAAAGTTTATCCAACCTTAAAGTATTAAAATTAGACGGAGGTTTACTCTGTAATAATAATACTTTGATTACCATTGCATGGTATTGCAAAAAATTGACAGATGTATCATTTTCAGGTAAATATATTGTTCTTCGTTTCATATTCAGATTCATTAGTGTGAAAGTGAATATAATTTAATGATACATCATGATCTACCTAGAAAACAATCTCAAATATCATTTAAACTGACTTTGAATTCCATTATCTAATTTTAAATTTTATCGTATAGATATTGTTATTTGAATAGTTATTTTAGTATTTTAGTTGTTTTGTTAATGAATACCTTTTTCTCTTACGTAGCTCATTCTTTATCATGCTTTCAGATTGTGAACAGTTAAGTGATCGTGGATTAGAAATTTTCATTATGTCGTTAAGTCTGGAATCATTATTTATTTCCTCTTTAAAAATTAAAAGTGTAGAGTACATGTCATCATTAAAATTTGTGACGATCCAACGCTGTCCTTTATTGAAAGGAAAGACTTTTTGGTCCTTGATAAGAAACTCACGAAGTCTCACGAGATTAAGGATTTTGATGTGCAGAACTATTACTGCAAATTTTCTGATTGACTTGGCCACGAAGGCTCACGTGCGCAATGAACTTCTGGAAGTGCAATATAAGGACGTCTATCATTTTATTAAAGTTAAGATTACAGATTCACGTGTATATGTACTTCAAAATATTAACAAGTGTATATTTTAATAGTTTGATGGAAAACTGATGTTCTTGATTTGTAAAGTTTTTATTATTGATTTATTGATTGGTATAACGTGAGCTATTTTATTATTTTTTTCAATAAGTCGTTACCAAAGATAAAAAACGATATCGAATAAACTTTAATTTAAATATACATTTTTATTCACTGATAGAATCAACTAGATGTACATTTACATCGTATAGATTTCTATGATGAACAAATTATTTCTAAATGTATTCATCCAGTCTTCATTTTAAAACTTAACACTAAAGTGTAAAATAAACTTGATCGTTTAGAATATTCATTTTTTTAATTTCATTTAAGAACAGCACAGAATTTTCATACCAAAATTTAACTAAATCTAAACTTAATCAATTTACATTATAGTGTTCACTTGAAATAATAATTATATTTTTTAAATACCCGTTCAATAATTTAATAAACCTTTCACTATTAATAATCAAGTCTATTTCATAATTATGTTTTCGTAAACTCTTATAATTCTTTTCATTATTCTAACAAAATAAGTTTTACATTCTCAACTCATTCATTAATGTTCTAATTCATTAAAAAATTACAGTAATAGATAGATAAGCAATTTTAATATTTGTAAATACTATACATTCATTTCGATTATTGCGCACGTTCATGTACCTTAATACGTGGATAAAATGACCGATGAGTTTATTTATCTTTTACACAAACAAACGAGGAAAGGACAATCAATAGAGCGCGTAAGCTAGATTCCAAATTCTAGTACAGCTTTCACAATTGATGTGTAATGATGAAAGTTACAGATAGAGAGAAGTACAAAGTTATATTAAAATTTATGAATTTTATGAATTAAGTGTCAATAGCTTCATTGGTTTATCGGTAATTGTAAATTTGGTTTTATAATTTTTATTGCATATCAAAACTCCGATTATAAATATTCTAGACTTCAACTAGAAAACGTCAACCGAATGCTGAATCGATGTAACTGTTTTGTTTTCTTACTAATTTATAAATTTTACGTCAACAATCGATATATCATCTTAGAATAAATTAAAATATATACGATAAGTTGAGCATCTATTGTATTTTGGAAAAAAGTTACCGTAAAATAATCAATAGTGAAATGTAAAAATTTAGAATTACCAGAAATGTATTTATTACAACTTGACTCGCACCTATATTACAAACCCATTGCAATGCATAAAGTTGACTTGTCTATATTCATAGTTGATAGGTTTATTGAATGGGTAAGTATTAAAATTGTTTTTTTCACGTGTATTTTGTCCCACTTTTTTTATTTATTTATTTTAATTTTAAACTAAATTGTATTAAAATTCAAGTTTCTTTCCTTTATAGGTATTATATTTCGAAAATTGTTCGACGATAGATCATTAACTAAATTGATCTGGCGACGTAATGTTTATTGAAAAAAAAACACAATATTCCAGCATATACCAATAGAATTAACATTAAAAATTCAAGACGTAAATTGCTACTAAGTGAATTAAACTACGAAAATATTAAGGTCATGTAATATCCAAAATATCAACAATCTTTGAGTACCTACTGTAAAAGAAATCATATTATTTTATGATATGAAAAATGAAACATATGTCCTTCACAAGAACATATGTCATCTTCTTATAAATAAAACAGGCATAAATATAATTGACAGTTAATTTATAATGGACATTGAAAGAATTGAAACTTCATGTGTTTCATGCATTATGGGTAAAGTTTTTTTTTTTGCTATTCTTAATCGTTGACGTTTTTAAGCTGTATAAAGTTAACCATATAAAGTTAACCATATAAAGTTAACCAATGATATTTTTGTATCCATTATGCAAACGGAAATCTAAGATATAATTAGAATTACATACAAAGCAAAACGTTCGTCGAACAGTCGATATTTATCTTGTATTACATAAATCCAAAATTGAAAATTGATGGAAAGAATAGTTCAGGGTAATAGCCACAGTTTTTCTTCATATTTTATCAAAAGATGTACAGCCTTTATATGAAAGTGTTGTATACAACAGTTTGCTCAACTTAGACTAATTACAATTTTCTACTTTCGATGATTTACACAGATTTAATAAATTAAAAGAAAAATATTCGAATTAGTTCGGTAGAATGATTCCTTTTACAATAAGACGCGTCTTATATTGTATGTATCTCACTTCAAGACACTTCTTTCAGTTTATTATTTAAGGTTAGAATATTAATCTCTATCCTATTTTTTCTTTTTCTACTAGTATTTCTAACAGCTGCTACACCTTGCGCTATCATATGGGATAAGATTATAAATTGCAATTTAATAAAAATTCGTGGATCAACCTTTCAAATTCACGAGAACTTCGCTGTTAATAGCTTAAATTTTGGCGTAGTTTTGTACTCCAAGTTAAACCGTTTTGCGTTATATCTATATAACTATTGAACAGCTATATCTATATAACTAATTTGATTTTTTTAAATAATATTGACGTGAGTAAAACGTCAATATCATTTCTTAGAATAACATGTTTTGCTAAATTATTTGAATTTTTCATTTTGATAATATCTGTTTTGATACACAATAAAATTAAATAAAAAATTACAAGGAAAAATTTTAAGGTATCAACTATCTGTATATCTATCATGGGTCGTCGTAAGAAACCAAATCAAGGTAGCGAAGTTACTGATGATCGGGAATCTTCTATTTTCGAACTAACCATTGATTTTGTTCGGTAGAAATTTTTTATTTATATATAACAAAGAAACAAAGAATTTATATTCACATATTAATTTCGGCATTTAATTATACATATTGCAATTATATATTAAATGTGTGTGTGTGTGTGTGTGTGTGTGTGCGCGCGCGCGCGTGTGTGTGTGTGTAAAATGCATATGACCTTTTGAGTATAATATTTCTACTTGAAAAAATCATAGTCAAAGTATCTACATGTACACATGTCTATGTTTATATTTTCGAATAGCAGTTTAAATGTTAATCGTCACAAAAGTATTTTGTTTATATGTCTTAGCAATAACGAAATAAGTTGACATTCTTTAATCAATAAATGTTATTGTAATCCATCCTTAATACTGTTATGTTTTTGTTGACAAGAAAATATAATAAAATCGAGGCTAATAACAGTGCATAGTAGTATTCGAAAACATGCAATTACAATTCTAAGAAGGTCCTAATCTACTTAGGCCTTTAAAGGCGCTGAAACTATAAATTTCGTATTGAAAATTGGTGCAAGTCTGAAGAGATTAACACTGTTACCTAAAATATTATTAGTGAGAGATGATGGCGAAGCCAAACGTTAAATTGGCGGTAATGTACTTCAGTGGGTACTGACCGTACGTTGACGCAACATCAATGCGTAGTTTCGCCTGATTTATTGAATTACATGTGAGTGAGTCTTTATTGTCAAATTTCTGCTTCAATTTTTTCATGTTTTGGGTGTCGGCTGTTCGTATGCTACGCATTAATGTCCGTATTTCATCGCGATATGAGTAGTTTATGAATTTTCAGGAAATATATATTATTGTTTATTTAAGAAGACTTTATTCAGTACGAACAGTAGTATAACCTGTACTTTGTTTACCTAAAATTTAATCGATAACTGTAAATTAACGCGACTACATTTTATTATTAATTAAAGATTATTAAGATTTGAAAACATCCTTTGAAATATATAACAAATATGATACATCATTCTTTTAACGATTGCCTCATGATCTTATAAGATTAGTATATTTTCAGAATAATTGACAACATGAAGCGTCCAAAGCGTATGAGCAATCGTATCAGAAAAATCGCAAAGAAAGAACCATCAATCTTCTGGTTAAACGAGGACTGCCTGCGTCACATTATAAAATTTTTAACGGTCAGGGATAGAATAAGGCTATCAGGAGGTACACTATATGGAGAAAATCAAGTTAATAAATAATTAGACAACAATGTTACAAGTATTTAATGACATAATATGTACGTTTTCTTACAGTTTGCAAGAGGTTGCAGTCTCTCGTTATGTTAACATGGTCTGATATCAAATCATTGAGAATCAGTTTTAACGTGAGAAGAGATCGTGATAAGATGAAATACACCTTACCGCTTTTAAAATTAGTACTTGGCCATTGTGGCCCTTTTCTTAAGGATCTAACGCTTGGTTCTTGGCGAGAAAAAGGTTACACCAGTCCAGTTATGTCATACATAACGAAATCATGCCCAAACTTGATTTCATTAAATTTAAAAGGTGTAAAACTTCATGTAAAATCAGCCGAAATTCTTGCGCAGACATACAGCAAACTCACACACCTTACCCTAGGATGGTGTCAACAAGCATGCACTCACGCAATATCAAAGCTTTTTCAAGCTAACAAAGAACTCAAATTAATCGAGTTCATTGAATGTTATCATCTAGAAAGCAGTTGTTTTTCAAAACTTCATGCAGAATCCATTGAGTCAATCACTTTCGGTCGAAAATGCAATTTCGAAGTAAGTGAAGTTATCAATGTAAGTTCATTTTTTTTTCAAACATATAGAAAGATGGAATTTTGCGATAGTTTCCAGCATCTACCAATATATTAATAGTCATTGAAAAAATTATATCGCATAAAATATTATTCAATTTTTAGGATATCGAAAAGTTTATAAACTTAAAGACTATTTACGTTGAACGAAATGGCCTATTCATCGATGGTATAAATGAATTATTAGGAGAATTACCTAAAAAGACAAATCTAGAGAATTTAATAGTAGATGCAAGCTGCAATTATTCGGAAGAGTTTGTACCTTTATCAAATATCATTTATTATACCAACCTTCGAAAAGTAACGCTAACTTATCGTATAGCATATGATGAATTACTCGTTGCTATTGCAAAGCATTGCAAGAATTTAACATATATAAAATTAGCAAGTACGTGTCGTTTTTCGTTCATGTTGCTCTGAGTTATTAATATTATCATCAATATTACTATTTCATTTGTTGCTATCTTTGTTTGAAAATTGACAATTCAAAAATGTCTTGTACTTTCGTTCTTATTGTGTTATTTATTATTCAATTTACAGATTCACCTGCAGTAACTGATCTTGGATTATCAACTTTGATTTCTTCATTAAACATTGAAGAACTCTGTATTGATAATCTATGCGAGATTTCCTCTAGCTTTTTTGCATATGTACATATGCCTTCATTGAAGATTTTTCAGTCCTTCAATAATCCACACTGGAATAATGAAAGCTTTAGGAATCTAATGTCTGCTGCAGATAATTTGATACAAATACAAATTAAGAACAATCAAGTGAATTATAATGCGTTGATCAACGATGCAACACAGTATTCATTAAATCGAGGAAATGAGACATTTCTGAAATTGCTCTTAGAAGTTGAGGACCAGGTTCCTCCAACGGGCAGAATTGCACCATACTTATTGGTTGAGTTAATAAGAACTCGCCATTCTGCATCTGATGAAGATTCTGATTAAAACGTGGATTATAAGTACATTTTATGGTAGTTTAGTATCTGGAATTAGAATTTCATCTATTTTTTTCAATATTTTGACTAACAATGTATCGCCTTAGAACTAAAACTAAAAATGAAAATCGAAATCCAACTGCATTTTTTAAATATTTGAGTGATGGATATACTGAGTCCACAATAAGCTGTATATGACTACGTGATTGTATTTTAGAAATCTACAAGGAATTGTACGTCTTATTATAAAAGAAAATGGAAAAATTATTACTAGATTCCTACCAATTTTTATATTTTGGTATGAAAAAGTAATTTTAGTAATACTGGTATCGCTACATATTGAATTTGTAATAAGATTGATAAGTAATATGTAGATCATAACAATTTTTTATGTATGTCTTTGTATTCTTACAAGTAGATAATGTAAGAAGTTAACTATATCAGTAGCCAATTTTCAATTGTTTTTAATTACATAAGCTTTTGGAATAAAATACGTTAAACAAATTTTATGCATTGATTTTGTGGCGAAGACTTTCTTTACACAGTAACAATCTTGGTCGTAACTATAAAACTAAACATTTAAATTTAATATTAAAATTGACATCTTGGATAAATTTTATTAAGTATTATACTGACAATTGTGAGTTGGATTAGCATTACCTTTTACCTCTCATGTAATATATTTATATTATAATCATTTCTAATATAGATATACACATGCGAAAAAGACAATCAGATCTGAGAACACAGCGGAAAATCGCCATAAATTGTTCCGGAAAAATGATAGGAAAATTACGCGTTTTTAGTAAGAATAGAAAAACTAATGAACAATTTCGCGTAACTTTGTTTTCATAAACAGTATTTCCGTAAGATTTTTTTTCTGTTCCCCCAAAAATAAATACATTTAATCATTAGAAAAAATTATGCATAATTGCTTTGTCCAATCAAAATATTGTAATCTTAAGTTACAAGATAAACATTATTTTTTATTGCAATAATACATGTACCCGATAAATCAGTAGGTAATAAAGTCAACAATGGATGTACCTATAGAGGTGGGTTATTTATCCATATAACCAGTAATGTTAAGTACTCAGAGATTTTTCTGAGTCAGAAAAATTTCCCACAGAAATGTTGGCACTGCCCGGACATTCAGGACCTGCGAAGTTAAAAATCTAAATTATTTTCGAGGATTGAGCATCGATGGCCTTAAATGGCTATTTTTTACCAAATTGTGGAGGTACAACTTGCCGAAATAAGCCTTTGATCTAATCTTGTTTGGTGTGATTGATGCTCAAGCATCAAAAGTAATTCGAATTTTGAAGTTCGCGGGTTACAAATGAATGACAGGGCAGAGTAGATCTATGTGACCGACTGATTCATTAACAAATATTTCAATGAATTTTTATGGGATAGAAAAATTGCATTCAATTTTTGCTAACGATTCACTTGTTAATAAAAATTAAATTTAAAGAATACGTAAATTCAATTTTTACTGATTAGGAAGTGTTGGACATTCGAAATTCTTGTTATTGACAAAAACTAAATTGCGTGAATGTATTAATGATTTTTTCTATCATTGCTTATCGTGCGTAGTTTTTCTATAATTTTTTCGGATCGATTTGCATTTTCCGTCGAATTCATTCATCACATCTGATCAGTTTTCTCTTACATTCAGGTATGTATTTATAAATTATCCAACGTTACTGATGCGCGGTCAGTCTCATCGCTACCATACAGTTATAATAATAGGATTGGTAATACAAATTAACTGGCATTTTATAAAGAGAATGCGCATGTTACTTGATGTATATTGCAAACGCCTACAATAATTTGCACTAACATAAAACTCAAGCGAATGATATTTAAGAACCATATGACGAATAATTTTCTTAAAACTGCATCAATCGAATTGAAATATTTTTCTGATAAAAGATTATAGCATCAACTTTTCACTCCGTTTATAGGAATATCACGAAGTCATGTGTAAAATGAAGAAACAAATGACTAAATTTCGAAGGAGTATAAGATTTGTGAGACTACCGATTTATGGCTACATCTACTCACACGCAACTCTAACTCTTAGATTTTTAATCATTCTGTTACATTTGGCATTTTTTAAATTACAATGAAAATCAATTTGAATAAGAAATAACTTACACGTTGGTAAAATTATAATCACACTGTAGTCTTCACAGCGGATTATCTTCAAACCGCATAGTGTTTATAAATACAGGTTTGATATTACGGTTAGCGTCATTAATCAGTCACAATAATAGTATCGAAATTGTATTAACGCTCAACGTAATGAACATAATTTTGTAAGACTAAAAAATAATAATGATTTTTAGATAAACTGCGTTCACAAAATTGAAATCATTAATGCTTTTTCTGAAAAAATGCATAATTCATTTATAAGGTCTTTTTATTTTAAGCAATATAGCAAGAAAACAATCATGAATGATCTGAAAATTTGCATATATACAGCATTTGTTGCTAGTAATTTTAAGATTACTCACATGAAACCATCCGGTTACCGTGATAGTCCATTTTCTATTGGCATTAAATACGAGACCATGATCATTTTCATACACACTGTCATTTGGTTCTGGAGCAGGTTCAGCGCACTTAGAACTATAACGGTTGAGGGTTAAATAATCGACAGTAGTTCTAATATTTTAGATAATTTGACACAACAAAGTGGATAAAATTACTAATATCATAATCATCGTTACTTCATATAATTTATTCATTTTGTTGAAAGTCGAGAAAGTCTCGATTGAGGTAATTCCTAGTATTCACTTTTTCATTAATTTTTTTTCACAATAGCTGGCTAATCATCTTATTTTGAAAAAAATGGATGTTCGTACATACCAAATTTAAATTGAAAAGCTATATCACCAGATTCAGTGTTATTTTCTTGTTTAGAAAAAAGTATGGTGTATCTATAGTAATACTAATTTTCCCATTCTGTTGAAATCTGAATTTCTTGTCATAAATGTCATGAGCGTGAGAATGAGCTTCTAAAATGTTTGCAGAGATACTCTGCCTTCTTTTTTAATTCTATATAAAAAAAGTGTATTAAAAACTGTTTTGAAAAAACATTAATACGTGCTTTTCTTAACAGGTAGTCAAACCAATTCATTTATTAATTTTGTTGTAATAATTCATACCTTGCACCGTCTTTGCAAACGACATTCGCATAATCAGTTGGAAGTATCCAGCTGATAGAAAAGTGATAATAGTCCATCTGGAAGCATAAAATGTAGAATCGACAAATTCTTGACTTGAACAAAAGGTTTTTCTACTCACGTCAATATTTTTAAGTATTTGAACATCTTTATTATATCTATGATAAGAATTACAAGAATGACGTCACCATTTGATTCATCGGCAATAAATCGGGTCTACCATGAGTTCATCGTTCTCACACGTTCTTACCTTTATCTGTAAATATAAAGCACTTCAAATTGAGTGTTCAATTCATTATTGGAAGCTTAAACTATTTTATCACATTTTACCACTGATATTCCAGGTTACCTCGAGTTGGTATGAGGAAGTGTCGGAACATAACATTAGAAATTCATTAGGAAACGATACCAATTTTTGAATAAATTTGTAAACACAGTTGCAAACAATTAGTTGTATCATTGTTTAAAAAGTCACATCTTTTTCAGACATATGGTAATCGATTTCTGTAGTGTGGGTGTAGAGATACAACAGAAATCTTTACCTCAGATGTAATGTAATTATATTTATAAGAAATATAAAACAAACCATTCTCGCTAATAAACATGTACTTGTATGGATTTAAAAAAAATGGAACTGATAATATTAGAGAAATAAAATATCATGACTTTTTAAGAATAACGACTAGAAGCACAAATACATTGCTCCCATAATTGGACTGTAATATTTAATTCTTCCAACGAACACAAGCAAGTTATCTTTGTTTGGTACTGCTTTATCATATGAGTCTCTTCTAAATTACGTGAATTCGCCGTTTCACAAAATTTAAGCAATGCCATTTCCTGCGTTGCTCTCAGTACTCCGTTTCAAAACTCGCGCGAAATTGTTCTCGCAAGCAACTCGCAATAAATTCAACGATATAACGCTCGAGCTCGGAAGCTGCGATTTTGCAAAAGAAATCCATCGATTCGCCGATGACTGATGACTGCTTCTCGAACGGCTATCGCGTGCGGGGGTCAGCGGGAGATTTAATTAACGCAAATGCCCAGCGATCGCTCACCCCTCTTGGGGTTATTAAGCACTCGAGCACTCTAGCAGCGTCGACCAGAGAGCAACGGGAGGAAAAAAAAAATTAAACGATAGGTGCGGCATCGAGGCGAGTTGTTTTTCCTTTTTTCTCTTTTTTTTTTGCTCGCTTCGAAAGGGTTTTGCCCGGGATTAAAGGATTCAGTTTTTAGATTGATGTCGGTGCGCCAGATGCCCGCTGCCGCATGCTTTTTTTTTTTGTTTTCATTGTGCCCCAGCGGAATAGATCGCGCGAGCCGAATTTCGTCGTCTGATGGAAGAAAAGGAAGAGAATGAGACGAGCTCGGGAGTGGCGCGACAAAAGCGAACGCTCGCCGTCAAAAGGCGATTAAAGCGGCCACCGCAATTCCATCGTAAGTAAGAAGTCGGCGATGGAGTCCTTGGGAAATTACGCATTCGATAAAGCCGCGCGATATCGTCGGCTAATTCGCTGCAGACTGCTCAAATAAAAGTCTCTCTCCGACTTTAACGTCTTTCCGATTCGAGGCAAACTTTGCTTGCGCCCCCTGCCACGCGAAGCGCGTCGTCCCGTATAATCGACTTTGCGAAACAATTCTATAATCCTTTGAAACGCAATTAAGGGCTTACTCTCTTTCTCTCTCTGCCGCGAGTCCAAATAAGTTTGGCCGCGCGTAATCGCTCGTGAAAAATGCTCGTGGAATTACAGCGCGGGCAACGAGAGCCGAATCGAATCAGTCGAATTCCGATGCGTGTGTTATTACGAGTTCGAGAGGGCTCGGCCCCTCGCTGCGCATAAGACTGCCAATTAGCGTTTACCCCCCCCCCCCCCCCCCCCGGTCGCCGCACGCGTGCACTTGATTGTTGATCGATGCACACTGCGCCGGCGAGAGCATCGCAGCGCGCTCGTGAATTCGTTTTGGCTGCGCAAATCGCGGGCAAAGTTCGCGCTCACGCGGGATTCCGCTGGCGCGAGATTAATGAAGGCGCGTCGAAGGGAGAGCAAACAAGCAGGCCAAAACCGATATCTATCCGAGCGAGACTTATCTCATTTATTACCGGCGCGTCTCTCGTCGATCGCGCGCCGCGGCGTCGGGCGTCTCCCTCGTCGTCATCGGTTATTTTACAACCTCGGCTGTGAGATAAGGTAGCGTATAACGTCTTTGTTTTCGCCGCCGCGAATGCCCTCCCCGTGTGCCTCCGCGCTCCTCTTTTCTTTCTCTCTGTCTCGCGAGTCAAAGCACTTCCGAGCCCGGCAGAATTAAGCTTGT